GGCGCAGGCTGAAGTGAATAAGGCGCTTGCGAAACTGGATCGTGTCTGCAAGGCTAAGCGGATAGTGTTTAAGAAGGGCCGCAAGGAGACTTCAGTGGTGGCTGAAGAGGAGGGGGCAGCAAGTCCTTCCCTTGTTGAGTCTTCCTTGGTCCTTGAGGCGCGGTCGGTAGGCGCTTTTGGTGCGATAGACCTGGATACTATTCTTAGCGATTAGAATCCAGGCACTCCAAACTTTTTATCAGAGGCGCCTTAGTTGATTTCTGGTGTCCGTAGGCGGATAAACGGTTTTCCTTGTCGCAGTCGATTAGTTTTAGTGTGTGGTCTGGTGAAGCAATATAGGTGTCTAATTCGTTTATATCTAGCGCTCTTTTAGACCAGTGCAACAGATGTTGGTGTGGCTTCTCGTTCTTAGTGTTGCTGCCAGTAGATCGTGAGTTCTTCTGCTGCGTTAGTAATATTTTTAGCTGGTTCCTATATGTTGTCTTTATATCTATATCCTTTCTATTTGACGAGGTATTAATACCCTTCTGGTTCTTTGAGATAGTTGATAATTCGTTCCACTTCATACTCTGGTTCGTTATCTTCGACGATAATAATATCGTTTGTCTGTGATCCACGTGGTGCTGGTTTGAGGAGTGAGACATAGAATACTGGGTGACACTTTATGGTTTCTAGGAGTCCTAGTTCGTAGTTGACTGGTGAAATTACTCGTGAAATTTTGAAAGGTCTGAGTTTTTTATAGTTAAGTTTATCGTTTGGTCGCTTTGTCTTGATGTTTCGCCATATAAGATAGGCGCTATCTCCCTCTTTTAAGGTTAGTCCCTCAATCCTTCGTTTGTTGCTGAATTTTGTCATTCTTTGTCGTATGAATTCAAGTTCTTTGCGTGCGTTTTCCTGGATATCCTTGATTTGGCGTATTGAGGCGACAGCTTTTACTACAGCTAGGCCTGTTCGGGGTTCTCCATAGGCGGTTGGTTCGAATCCATAGTTGAGGTAGAAGGGGGATTCCTTGGTACTTTCTCCTACTGCGCTGTTATAGGCAAACTGGGCTATTAGTAGCAATACAACCTAATTGTCTTAGTTGTAGTTGACGTAGGCGCAGAGATATGTTTTGAGGATTTAGTTGATTCGTTCTGTTTGTCCGTCGGTCTGCAGGTGGAATGCAGTGGACATTAATTATTTGATGCCAAGTTGTGATGTGATTAACTTCCAGAATTTAGAAGTGAAGATCTTATCTCTGTCTGATATAATTTCTCTGGGCGTTCCGTGGTTGGCGATGATATATTTAAGAAATATATAGGCATATTCTTCAGCGTTACTTGCTTCTTTATATGGGATGAAGTAGGCGTACTTCGTGAGTCGGTCCATAATAACAAGAACGCTGTCAAAGTGTGTTCCCATAAGGGGTTCTTAAGACTTCGGTAATTTGACGATAAAGTCGAGGGATATGGATTGCTAGGCGGTTTGCGGCACAGGCAAGGGTTGTAGCATACCATAAGGTTGATGTTGAGCAGGTTTGCTTTTGAGGCAAACCTCACAATCCTTGATTGCTTTTGCCACTCGTTCTCTGGTGACTTTTTCTCCATATTGTTGCCGTAGTCGTTTCCAGGTTTTCGTGATTCCTTGGTGACCGTATGCAGGGCGAGCATAGAACTCCTTAATTGCTTTGTCGTCTAGTTCGTTAGGCGGGCTAGTACTAGGTCGTCTGGCTATCATTAAGAGTTTGGTTGCTAGCACTAGATCTCCGTTGTTATTTCCTTTGAGAATCACCTGGGTTTCTTCAGGTACTAGGACGTTATAGTCTGGTTGTCGGCTAAGAGCGTCAGCTCTGCTATTATCTGATCCTTTGCGATAGATAATTTGGAAGTTAAATTCTGATAGGAATTCTGACCATCTAATCTGTCGTTTATTCAACACTTTTAAAGTCGTGAAGTGTGAAAGGTTTTTATAGTCTGAATATATAAGTACTTCGTGTGTGGTTCCTGAGAGCTTAGGTCTCTATTCCTTAAAGGCTTCGATGATTGCCATAAGTTCCTTATCGTGAACCTGATAGTTGAGTTCAGGTCTGTGGAGCTTGCGAGAAAAGAAGGCGCACAGATGTAGTCGTCCTTCTGAATCCTATTAGGATAATTATGCTCCTATCGCGTAGTCGGATGCGTCAGGTTCTACTTCGAACTGTTTTGTTGGATCTGGAATGCTCAAGACGGGTTTGCTGGCGATGAGGTCCTTGATCTTCTGGAATGCTGTTCGTTATGGTTCTTCCCATATAAAGGGCGTGTCTTTGCGGCTGAGGCTTGTGAGAGCTGCGTTGATCTTGCCATAGTCTTTGATGAATTTGCGGTAGAAGTTGACGAAACCTAGGAATCCTTGGACTTCCTTGAGGTTATTAGGTACCAGCCATTCCTTGATGGCTTTGACTTTGTTTTCTGACATACAGACTTTCCCAGGGGTGATAGTGAATCTGAGGTATTCCACTCTCTGTGTGTGGAATTCGCTTTTCTCAGGTTTAACTAATAGTTTGGCTTCTTAGAGGGCTTATAAGACGTGGTGTACGTCCTCCTTATGTTTCTCAAGTGTTGATGAGAAGATGAGGATGTTGTTGAGGTAGACTACTACGCAGATGTCGACGTATTTGCGTAAGACTTAGTTGATCATATTTTGGAATGTTGCGGGGGCGTTAGTGAGGCCGAAGGGCATGACGAGGTACTCGAAATGTCCTTTTCGGGTTCTGAAAGCGGTTTTCCATTCCTCTCCTTGCTTCATTCTGATCAGGTTATAGGCTCCTTTGAGGTCGAGGGCTGTGAACCAGTTGGCTCCGTGAAGGAGTCGTCTCATCTCGTCGATAAGTGGTAGTAGGTAGCAGTTCTTAATCGTCATTTCGTTTAGCATGCAGTAGTTGACGCATAATCGTAGTTTTCCGTTCTTTTTGGGTACGAATAGGATTAGGCTTCCTGCTGGTGACGTTAAAGGTCTGATGTATCCCTTCTTCAGATTTTCTTCAAGGTATTTATCTAGGGCTTCTATCTCTGTCTGGTTGAGTCTGTAGATTTTGTTGAAGCGTGGTTCCTTCCCTTTTTTGAGGGGTATTTCGTGGTCGAAACTAGTGTGTTTGGGCAGTCCGGTTTCTAATTCGGCTGCAAAGAGTTTCTCGTAAACTCTATATTCTTCTGGGATAGACAGAAGTGGATCGTTCTTCTGTTCAAGATCCATCGTCGTCGGTGGTGGTGATACAGCTCCTTTTGCCTTGAGGTAACAGAGGTATCGTTTTGCTGTTCCTTGTCGTATTGATTCGTTTGAGGCCTGATTCTGACAGGGCTGCTCAGGGACTGAATCATCGTGGTCCTAATGGAGTTGGCCTTTGCTCCAATCTATCCGTGGGTTGCTTATTTGTAGCCAGGGTAGTCCTAGCACTATGTCGTATGTTCCTAGATCGGCAATGTCGAATTGGATTCTTTCTTTTCGATTCAGGTAGCTCATCTCGAGGGGCGCAGTCTCATTATAGATAGTACCTCCTTCGTACTTGAATTCTTCTCCTTCTGCCGTGTGTAACTGATATGGTCGTTCTTTTCCTCCCTATCGTATTTCTAGCCTATTGATGGCTTGGGGGGCAATGAAGTTTGCTTCGGCTCCGCTGTCGATCAGCGCGAGTGTTATCTGCTGATTGATAGTAACTTCAAGTTCGATATTACCCTTATATCCTTGTGACATTTGATGAATAGATCTTATATCTGTTGCCTGTTGTGATCCGTCGTCGGTAGGCGAGTCTAGTTTTTTGACTGCTCTGGTTGTCCTAGGTAGGTGATTTGCTTTCCTTCTCATTATGCTTTTGCAAGGCAGTTTTTGTGGATCCTGACCTATGGGGGTCTAGGTCTGTTTTTTGCGATTCTCTAAGTTTGTGCCTTTTCTTAGTAGTGAACTTAGCATTCGTCTTGTTGGCATTCGTCCTATTTTATGCTGTCGTTATGTTGACATCTTATTAGGAACTGAGGACTAGGTCTGAAGACTGCGAGGTTGTCTTCAAACAGTACTATAGTCCATCCAATCATAACGGAGGTTGAGTAGATCTCATGGATAGGTTCGTCGTCATATCTTCTGGGGTAGAACTGGTAATTATGCTTTTCTCCTATGTGTTCCTTGCATTTGTCGTGGAAGCACTGGGGCCAGAAGAGGGTTCAGTGAAGCTGGTGGTTGCTTCTCAGCGTGGGATGATCTTTCGTGTGTAGCTGAGGGGTGTAGCTTTGGTCTCGTTAGGCTGCTGAGGTGCTATAGAAGTGGCGTTGTTGTTTGTCTTGAAGCATGTCGATTTCTTGGTATCTCAGAAGTTGCTTGGTTCTTTCTTCCTGGTCGTCGGGTTCCTCTTCAGAGCTGGAGTCATCCATACTGGGGGTGAACCTATAGGTGATTTCTGTCTGGGCGCGTTATCGGGCAACGTCGCGAGGTTTATCTGAGTCATAGGAAGAGCTTTCTCCTCCGAAAGTCCAGTTGTTGGTCATACTGAGGAGTTGTTGTTCTATCAGAGGATCGTGTTGGTGTTCTGGTTCTTCTTCTGATTCTTATTGTTGGTATAGTCTTACTTATCTGTCGTCTTCTTGCTGGATTAGCTCTATTTCCTTCTGGATTTGTTGTTCTTCGTGGTGGAGTTGTTAGCTAGTTATACGGGGGGTGATTAGTTCTAGTCGCTGAATTCGTAGCATCTCATTGAGTTGTTCAACTGGTTTTCTAGCCACTTTGCTGTTGCTGGAATGCATTATTGCCAGGGTCCTAGGGCGAGTGTCTGGGGTGGTCATATTATAACCAGACCGTCTAGGGTTGCTATCCCTTAGGTAGTGTCCTGATATTTCTTTGTCTTTAAGGTGAATTCAGCAGTTATCGTTATAGCATCTGGTCTACGATTAGGATGTATATAGGGCTTTTGCAATTATGTTGACTTATCGAGGTCGTTCTGCCACTGGTCTCCAGGGAAGCTTCTTAGGCTGTCTGCAGTCTTTAGCGATATAGCCTTACTTATTGCAGTTGTAGCACTTAGGGTTCCAAGGTTTCTTGTTGTTAGGTTTGGTCATCATGCTGAGATCTATAGGTCTGCTGTGTTGTCTATAGGCGGTGCTCTGGCGGGTGTTATTCCAGTTGTTGCAGGGTCTGTTGTCGTTCTGCTGGCTGTTGAACTTCTGTTGAGGCTGCCATTAGTACTTACGTCCTGAATTCAGGTTTTGTTGTTTCTCTCCTCGTTCCTTTTGTCGTTTATAGAGGCGGTTGTCAACCTTAATAGCATGTTCGACGTAGGCGAGGAAGCTAGGAGGTGTCTCCAGTTTGGCCATTTCGTCTTTGACCTCATCCTTAAGTCCTTGATAAAAGGCAAAAACTTTGCTTTCATCGGTCATGTGGAGTCTTGCAGCTAATCGCCTAAACTCCGCGGCGTAGAGTGTAGCTGACTTGGTTTGTCGTAGGTGGGATAGGTCTCGCTCAGCCTGTCTTTGTTCATCAGGGTCAAGGAAGAGGGATTCTAGGGCCTTGACATAGCCTGTGAAGCTGAAGAAGATATCCTTGACTTCTTGGCTGTATTTTTCGACAGGGTTGTCAAGCTATTCTTGTTGAAGGGGTTCGAAATAGGCAAAGGCTCGCCCCTGAAGGAAGGTGGCTGCGTGTATAACGCGTTTGGTGTCGTTCTGGAAGGTGTTTATGTGGAAGGCCTGGTAGGTTCAAACTTATACCAGGTGTCCTTTGAGTTGTCCTAGGGTCCTATCGAAAGTGGAAGGCGTGTTAAGCTTGAGGCGTTCTCATCCTTCGACTGGGGCAGATATGACGTTGGCGGCAGCTTGGAGGGTTTGGACTTCCTTCTCGAGTTCCTGAGTCTTACGGGCTTGTTCCTGGAGTTCCTTTAGGGCTGCGGCGTTCTGGTTGAACATGCCTCGCATTTTTTTTGAAGTCGTGGTTAATTTTGTCGAGCTGTGGCTGAGATTCGTCGGCGTCGTCTTCGCTGCTCGAGTCGTCCTTCATTTTCTGGTCCTCCATTTCCTGAGCCAGACTCTGGGGAGCCTTTCCTCTAGAGGTGGATGAGGATCCAGGGGTAGGAGACTTGATAGAGGCGTGGGAAGACATCCTGTACTGTTTAGTAGGTATTAATAGTCAACTTACTGAACAGGAGCAATCAAAGTGTTACGGTCAGCTATCCAACAGTAGGGTCTGCTAACAGAAGCTGGGGATTAATACGTTCTAACAGTACACTAGGTCGTGGTCGTAGGTTGTAGTTCGTAGGCTGTAGTAGATCAGGTCTTCAGAGGCTAAGGTGATCAGTCTTAGACTCAATAAGTGATTCGCAGTGAAGGTAAGCTGAGAGTATCCGTGAGGATGAATACTAAGTTGATTGCTGAAGAGCTATAGAAGTCTGACCATAAGCTAGGCTCAGGGTCATACTATATATAAGTTCTGAACAGTACCCTTTACTCTATCACTGATCCCTCACTAGGTACCAGTGAGCGCTTATTAACTGTTGGTGAGCGCTCAGTAACTCCGACTGAGCGCTCAGTGATCCACACTGCCTGCTCAGTCTTATCTTATCATCACGTGACTTATATCATAGTTCTTCCGTCTCCGAGTGAGTCCCTGTTGTTCCCATGATTCTGCAGTACAAATGTCCTGTCCTAGCCGCCCAACGCCCAAGTGGGTCGTTCAGCTGTTATCCTTATTTACGGGTCGTAACAATAAGCTATATAATATTAATTAAATTAAGTATTTTATATTATTAAAGTATAATGCTTAATTTAAAAAACTTAAGGATATATATATAATCGCTATAACGTAGTAGTAATTAATAGGGGTAGTTAGATACGTAGGGGGTAGTTAGAGTAAGGGGGACCTCTCATATATCCCTAGTCATATAAAAATTCACAAAAGAATTCTTCACAAAATGAGATTTTTGAGATTTTGGACGCATCTTGTGCTTCAATCAAGCACGTGCGAGCCGGCGGTCAGGCACTCCCTCATTGCGATCAGCTCACTCTACGAAGATATCAGCAAAGCCAGAACCAATGGGACTTCTTCGAGAGTCGACCCGCTTCATCTAAGTAGTCTGGCTCTGACACACTACAATGCAGCGATTAAGAAACTCGTAAATATCACAGATCAGGGGCTTGTTCTGTTGATTTGTGTTCTCTTCATCTGCATCGAGCTACTGCAGTCAGACAGAGACGCTGCTCTTCGACACTATAGATATGGAAACGCTATTCTTGATTTATTTAATCCGGAAGATACATCCTGGGTTTGCCAGTGGCTGAGGCCGCAGTTCCACCGGCTACAGACCTTGCACCACTTCTTCGGCGACAGATCTGAGTCTTCTGGGAAGCATGACATGTTGAGAAAGACACCAGTCTTTTTCTCGACTCTTAAAGAAGCGGACGAGACTATGGACGACATTTTCAATCAGTCGTTTCAATTTGTGCGCCGTGGCGCTAGCTACCGTGTTGGCGGTCATCAACACGAGCAGCCTGGCCCAGACCTTCTGGAAGAGCAAAGAAGACTAAGGCGTCTACTAAATGTCTGGTACACCGTCTTCAACAATCTTGAAGCAAAATCAAATTGTCACCCAGCGTCTATCACTGCAGTTCAGCGCGCCTATTTGCTATCCAAATAAAGGGCTTCGCCGTATTTGGGCGGCCATGGTTTTCAGCCCTTCCGAGATGGACTACGACAAATACGAAGACGATTACCGACGAATGGTCGAGGACCTAGGACAAGCGGCCGATGAGCGCACCAGGAGTAGGAGCCGCAACAACTTTGAGTTCGAAATGGGGTTCTTAGTTCCCATCTTCTTCATGACTATCAAATGTCGATACCTTGATTTGCGCGTTAAGGCATTGCATTACCTCAAGGTCCTTGCAGCGCCCCGGGAGGCCTTGTGGGAGAAAGACAGAATGTATGCCCTTGCGCGCCGAATCATCGAGATTGAACATGAGCTACTCTTGGATACAGACGGGAAGCCATCGGCTACCCTCAGCTCAACATTCCAGGAACTGCCCCCGGACGAGAAGAGGGTTGTACATGTCGTTACCGGATTGACGGGAGAGCATTCGAATGAATTTTATGGGCACCAAGTACAAGGACGTAACGTTGTGTTTGTCTTCAAGAGCCCTGATGATGGCGTTCTGTTCCGGCCCGACGTCCTTGGTGAAGAGCCTGTTCCTCTGCCAGCGTGGAGCCCAGAGGCAACGGAGAGAGAAGTGTTGGCACGAGGGGCTCGGATTTAAAGGGATGTTGCTCATCACTACTTTTAATACAATTTTTGGAGATAACAACCCTTGTGTCACAGACTACTTGAACGTCATGCCCAGATCATTCGCCCCGGTTAGGAACGGGAGGTGTCCGGAGATTTGCTGCGTCTCCGAAAGCGGGGCCGGCCTGCCGGAGTTTAGTGCCTAATCCGTGCATGCCTTACCTCCGGCTGGGCTCAATGAACGCCCGCTTTCATCGATGCAAGGATCCGGCTGGTTCTCGGCACGAATGCCATGCATGCGCACTGAGTCACTCACCGAACGCATGTTCCCAAGCAATGACGGAGATTCCCCCGTCCAGGCAGGTCGTCCCGGTGGAACTTGCGCCTGGGAAAGGCCTTTCCACCGGACACTAGATGCTCTCGGCGTCCACTTCCACTCCGTGACTGGAAATGAGGCTGCTGCACGGGTATTCATATGCGCGCCCGTAGTTTATGTCTGAGGTGTCATCGGCCCCAACAAGCTTTAGATAGAAAGATAGTCCCGAAAATGGAATTTGTAACCGCTCGAGATAACTCTATCGCGTCGGGCAAGTTTCTTTTAACCGAAGCCTGCGTCGGCTCTGAGGGGTCCAGAACTCAATCTTGAGGCTCCGGGGCGTTCCCCGAATGCATACATGCTACTACTGCGTAGCACCGCGTCGAAGGGCACACCGCTTGACAACAAACACGTGTATCGGCCGACAGTCTATGTATGGCATTGTCTTGACAAGGAGAAATATTGTTCCATCATGTGGTTGCTGGGTCCATCTTGCCCACCACGGAAAGAAATCGCCTAGAAAGTATCCGGGCGTTGTGAGACATTGCATTCAACCCTGCCACAGGGTCGGACGGGTTGTGGGCCGCGTCAGCTAGTTGCAGCAGCCCATGGATCTTGTTGAATTGCTAGTTTGAACTGCAGGCGATTCAGGGTCTTCTATCTGGTTCTATTTCACGGTTAGTCTAGCCCACTCTCATTAAGATGGATTTTCAATGACACCGGTGCGTGCTAGACGCGACGCTCGATCGCCCCGTGAACATCAGTTGCGCTGGAAACTCAACTGAACGCGCGATGACGTTAGTGGGAATAAAGCAGCTGGCCTTCGGAAATAGACGACCCCGAGCTCAACGGTTGTTGATGGATCGCATCTAGTTCCGCTTCTCATTGGCTGAGAGCTCTGGAACACCTACACCATTGAGTCATGGGAAGATCTGTCTGTCTTAACCCCGTGTCGTGCTTCCGACGGCTTCAGATGAAAGCACGAAATCGAGGGCTCGGAGCGGGATCGCCACCACGCTAAAAGAGCGGTCGAGACGGCGCTCCATGTCCCCTCAAGCCCTTTGCCCCCACCTGCGCAGAGGAATATGGATTCCGCCGACCAGGTGCCATGGCAAAATGACCCTAGACCCTTTCCGTATTAATAATGGCTCTCGCTGACTGTCTTGAATGCACATGCAAGCTCCCGCCGGCTAGGCGGTGCACATTGTTGGGCTGTATGTCATCACCTGCAGTGTGCGTGGGGTTTTACCCCGAGATAAGGGTTGCATTTCGGCTCCATCGAATCTGTTGTTTGGTCAGACATCTGTTCCACGGAGCTTTCTGGGATGCACTTTTTTTTCACAGGTCTCGTCCCCACAGCCATGCACAAACAACTGCTGCCCGACACGAGGGCACAACTGATGCCATCCCCTTTCTAGTAAATCCGAAAAACTCTTGACTTACGGGGAATATGAATTCCCCCAAAACACTCCGGTGGAGATGACAAATGATACTGCCGTGGAGCGTATGCCGGCCGCGGGTCCCTAATGACAACGGCGCCATCCCGTGTTAGTGCGAGAGTGGAGCAAACCTTGGTCTCATAGACTCGACTTAACACACACTGCTCTCCTCGTCATCAGTCGTCGCAAGTCGTTTTCATACTTTCTCTTCTCTTGGACCAGTTGCTTTGGCCCAACCATAATTCATCGACAGCTGTCGAGTTCACTCAACTGTCGCAGGTTCTCTTTCAACTACCCCATAGACAAAATTGATACACTTCTTTGCGCTAGATACCCTTCCTTCCTTTGTTATCCCACCATAGACTTTCGGCATCATGACCGGTCCATTGAGGCCCGAGGAAGACGGCCGCTGGGGTGAGAATGCGGCCGGAGAGATCTCCATTAACGCCGCGCTCGATGAGTTCCACGACCTCGAGAAGGAGCTTTCGACATTGCAACACCGTCACTCCACGGCCGCACATCATTCACAACCCAAAACCCACGAACGCGATGCAGGGGGTGAGAGCGACTCAACCATCGCGCCAACTGAGTCCGGCGAGAACTCGTTCGACCTCCCGGACTTTCTCAGGCGGGGGATCATGGACATGCGCACGCCAACAGGAGGGCCAACGAAGAAGCTCGGGGTTTCGTTCAAGGACTTGACGGTAAAGGGAATCGAGTCATCAACCAAGCAGGCCGTCACGTTTCCTCGGGATCTTCTCAATACGTTTGGTCCCGACTTCTATCACTTCATCACCGGCTTCTTCCCGAAACTCAAATTTCACAAAGAGCCCACCGTCGACCTCATTCGGAACATGACTGGGACAGTGAGACACGGCGAGATCATGCTGGTTCTGGGTCGGCCGGGTTCTGGATGTTCGACCTTTCTCAAGGCCATCGCCAATCATCGAGACGAGTACGCCGAGGTCGACGGAGAGGTGTACTATGGCGCGATCCCGGCTGAGGATCAGCTGCGACTTTTCAGAGGAGAGGTGGTCTATTGTGAGGAAGATGACCGGCACTTCCCCTCTCTCACAGTATGGCAGACTTTGTGGTTCGCGCTGAAGAACAAGACCAGGAAGAGGGAACAGTGGAC